GGGGGTGGGGTGGGTGGGTGGCGGGGGAGTGTTCCTGGACTCTTTCTTGGCCTGTTCTCATATGCTCTCCGGCCCCTGGGATTCACTCACCTAAAAACACGTAGACTGGGAGCCACTGCACAACAGACAGGGTTTGGAGGCATTCCTGAAGATCTAGTCTGGAGAGGAAGGCCATGGCAGTGGTGCTCTTCAGTTGTAGCAAGAAGCCCAAACAGAAAGCCAGCACCTCTATAGGTTCTTTGCTCTAGTCTCTTACCACTGAGTCCCTTCAGCTGTTGAAGATTTTAGGCCTGACCTAACCTTTACTCCATTCTTCCCTGTTGTTTAGCCCTGGCTCCACCCAAGCTTCCTACACACACCAGGTTTCAGATCACCCCATCTAATCTCTCTAATATCCCTCTAATATATAGCATTTCTTCATGCGTGCTCCATTGCAATGAGGCAGATATGATCCTGGGGTGCTTCTGGCTGTGTGTGGGGGAATCCCTGATAAATGAGTGAAGGAAGAGAAAATGGTTTAGACCTTGAAGAGGACCCCCAAAAAGCGACCTACTTCCCTGCTTAAGAAAGGAGGCCTGGTGATGATACTTGTTTCTGTTTTTTGGCTCCTCCCATCTTCTGCGGAGACCTACGTGGCCAAGCTGGGCCTTTTTCTGCACGGATATCTAGACTTCTCAGATCCGTCCTGGTGCCTCTCTTCCCAAGGGCTCTGTATCAGCAGCCCGATACCCTATGATAGACAGGGAGAAGCATTACATAGAGAGCAGACCTGGGTTCCGGCCTGCCTCCAGCATGTTATTCCCGTGACATCTTTGCAATTTGTTCCATCTCTCTAGATCTTAGTTCGAGCATTCATTGTTGGAAGGCAGTGTAGTGGTGAGGGGCATGGATTGGAGAGCCGGATAGCCGAGGTTCAGATCTCAGCTCTGCTGCTTACAAGTTGGTGAACTTCTGTGCCTCAGTTTCCCTATCTGTAAAACAGGGATAATAATAGTACCTATTTCACAGGGCTTTTACAAGGATTAGATGATCAAATGAATGTAAAGTGCTTAGCATAGTTCCTGGCATACAGTAGGCACTGTGTGTTTCCTGTTACGATTCGTTTAGTTCCATTAATGTCTATTGACCATATGTTTGAGGCTAAGAGTCTTGCTTCTACACACCGCCTTTACAAAATTAAAGACTGTCCCCAGGCCCCAGCCCTCTGGATTTATTATTTTTTTTTCTGTAACTACCTATTGAGTGACTACTGTTTGCCAGGCACTGCTATAGGTGCTGAAGATTTGGCGGGGAAGAAGATGGACAGGATTTCTGCCTTTATTGAACTTACAGTCCAGTGGAGGAGACAGACATGAAGCAAAAGAAAATCACAGAAATGTCTATGCACGGGGTGCCTGGGTGGCTCAGTCGTTAAGCATCTGCCTTTGGCTCAGGTCATAATCCCGGAATCCCAGGATGGAGCCCTGCATTGGGCTCCCTGCTCAGCGGAAAGCCTGCTTCTCTCTCTCCCTCTCCCAATCCCCCTGCTTGTGTTCCCTCTCTTGCTCTCTCTCTCTCATGCTCTCTCTCTGTCAGATAAATAAAATCTTTTTTTTAAAAAGATTTTATTTATTTATTTTAAACAGAGATTACAAGTAGGCAGAGAGGCAGTCAGAGAGAGGAGGAAGCAGGCTCCCTGCCGAGCAGAGAGCCCGATTTGGGGCTCGATCCCAGGACCCTGGGATCATGACCTGAGCCAAAGGCAGAGGCTTTAACCCACTGAGCCACCCAGGTGCCCCAAATAAATAAAATCTTTAAAAGAAAAAAGAAATGTCTATGCGTTTGAATGTGTGATAAGTGTCTTAAAGTAAAAGGTCAGTATTCTCAGCATTAAGGCCTTGAATACAGAAGGGCTCAAAAAAATCTTTTGAATGTAATCAAACATGTTGCCAGGAAAATCAAATATAAAAGTGGTATCAAGTATCCTGCAAATGCAAGGAGATATTGATTCCTTAGCCTTTTCCAGGGAGATTAGCAGAGTTCTGTCTTCCTCCCTAAACCCCACTGTGGTTCAGAGCTCCCTGATTAGACTGACTAATAAGATGTTTCAGAGTTGGGACACCTGGGTGGCTCAGTTGGTTCTGGGTCTGCCTTCGGCTCAGGTCATGATCCCAGGTCCTGGGATGGAGCCCCGAATTGAGCACCTTGCTCAGCACAGAACCTGTTCTTCCCACTGCCTGCCGGTCCCACTGCTTGTGCTCACTCTCTCTGCTTCTGACAAATAAATAAATAAAATCTCAAAAAAGATTAAGATGTTTCTGAATTAATTAGGGAACTTTCTTGGTATGCAGCAGGGGTGTGCTTTCATTCCCCAATGACCCCAGATGGGCCACCTAACGTGTCACCCCATTTGTCCACTTCCTCTTGCTTTTCTTCCCCTAGCTACCTGGGGTTCTCAAGCTGCTTATTGGGGCTACTTGGCCACATACAAGGTGAGATGTATTGGAGCACGTCTGCTCAGCATTTTCACGAGAGGAGGGAGAGAGGTGAGACAGGTCTAGGTCTTTTGGGGGAAATACAGATGTGGAGGGTTGGAGTCTCCAGCATGGACAAGATCCATAATGTTGAGAGCTCCAAGTCCCCTGATAGATCAGCTCTCTACCCTCCTTCACTTTCAGATGGGTAAATGGCAGAGGCCTAGAAAGGACTCAAGGTCACACAGGCACCAGTGGCAGGGTAAGGAAAGACCAGTTTCCATTTCTGTCTCCTTGATGTCCAGCTCAGAGCCTCAGGTACAGAGTAAATACTGAAATAAATGCTTGTGGACCAAATGGAGGCGATCTGGTCTCTTGGTTCCTCAAGCAAAATAGACAGGCAAGGCTGGGCTGAACCCCTGACTGGCCACCCTCTTCCCCGCAAAGAGGAGAGCGTGCTTCCAAGTTGGCGTTTTCTGCAGCCACGTGAACAAGTGTCATAGAGATACCAGAGAATGTAGAAAAGGCAGGAAGAAGCGAAGTAGGTCAGCAGGCAAACTCTGAACAGGCAGCACTCAGGATTTCCCAGTTACCATTTCTCCAGCCAACCAGCAAACGCCTAGCTTTCTTAGAGGAAGCGGTACTAAGAGAAAGGTGGCCGAGAGGCACAAAGGTCTGCCAATTTCTTTCATAAAACATTTCAGGCTGATGGGACTCTAACCATCAAGAAACTCACAGTCCAGGGTGTGAGGTAGATGTAATCACTTATACCTGTGAGGTCCTGTGAGGTGCACAGAAGAGAGGAGCCCCCACCAGCCCGAGGAGATCAGGGAGGGCTTTCTGGAAGGGGGATGCCGCGGTGAGGGGAGATGGACCAGGCACAAACGGCACAATGGGCTTTCCAGGAAAGACTGCCACTAGTTTATCAAACCAAAACGAGTGGGGAGCTGGGATAGGCCGGCAAGCTAAGGAGTTTCTAAGGGGCAACAGAAGAACAAAGGAAAGGAGAAAAATGGAAGGCAAAGAAGATCGAGGGGACCGGGAAACTCAGAAGAGAGGGTGGAAGTGAGGGAAGCCCAGAGACGGATGCAGCCCCGGGATTCTTCTTCCTGGACGTGAAGCCCCCCACTCAGCCCTCAGAAAGACTCGCTTCCAGAAAGGTTTGGATAGCGGAGGTTGTGCCATCATGCATCATTTTCTGATCTTTCTCCTTCTGCCGTACTCTTATTGGGCTAGGTATTGCGATTTCAGTTCAATTGAAAGTATTTATGGAGAACTCACTTAATGCCAGGCACCAGATGAGATAACACAGAAGGTACATACATCGTCCTTCAGTCACCACATTTTTTTAAAGATTTTATTTATTTATTTGACAGACAGAGATCACAGGTAGGCAGAGAGGCAGGCAGAGAGGAGGAAGCAGGCTCCCTGCTGAGCAGAGAGCCCAATGTGGGGCTCGATCCCAAGACCCTGAGATCATGACCTGAGCCGAAGGCAGAGGCTTAACCCTCTGAGCCACCCAGGTGCCCCAGTCACCACATTTTTTATTGATGTCCTGCTATAAGCCTGGTATTGTTCTAAAGGTTGACAACTGTGTGTGTGTGTGTGTGTGTGTGTGTGTGTGTGTGTGTCTGTGGGTGTGCGTGTTTGTGTGTGTCTGTGATGGGGCGGGGTGCAGGCGGAGAGAGAAAGAAGTGCACACAGCATCAACACAGGGATCAGGGCCATCAGAGAATTACAAAGAAGACAGAGGGGGTGGCTAGTAGCTTCGTGACCTTGGACAAGATACTTCTGTGAGTTTCGGTTTCCTCATCTGGAAAAAGGGACTAATCCTATTTACTCACTGCAAGGATTAGTGGTAGTGTTCGCCAAGCCCCCTGGGCAGTCAGTGTCTGACCCCCAGGAGCTGCTTGATAGGACGTGGGCTATTCAATGCTAAAACAGGGACGGTTGGTCCCCTCCTTCAGGTGACTGCCACTGTCTCCTAGACTTCAGCAAGCTGTTCCTCGCACATCCCCCTTCCTTTCTGGTCTCCACGCTGCTGCTAGCAGATTGCCGTCAAACACAACTCTTTGCATCTGCCCTGTTTCAAACCCTCTGAAGTCTCCTGTGGTTCCTGGGAGCGAGTTCGAACCCCAGAGCCTGGCTTCCAGAGCCCTTTCTACACTGGTTTCTGCCTTCTTTGAGAGTCCCATTTCCCATTACTTTATATCCCAGTAGACGCAGCCTCCTTCCCCTAATAGGAAGTGCCCCTTCTTCTTCTGGGCCTTGGCCCCCGGTTATCTCTGACCGGCCTGCCTAATTTTTACCCTCGATCTCTCTACCCAGCTCTCCCCTCTCGGTTCCTAAGGTACATGATGCCTACTTTGGGGAGGGCGCATATCAGGAGTGACTTCGGAATGGTAGACACCACCTCAGCACCCAGTTTCTTTCTTTTCTTTTCTTTTCTTTTTTTTTTTTTTTTAAAGATTTTATTTATTTGAAGGTGAGGGAGAAAGCAAGAGGGAGAAGCCAAATGACTCCCCACTGAGCAGGGAGCCCAACGCGGAGTTCGGTTCTGGGACCCTGAAATCATGACCAGAAGACAGACACTTAACCAACTGAGCCACCCAGGCGCCCCTACACTCCTTTTCTACTGCAAGGCTTGGTAAGCTTTTGGTATATTTATTTTGAATAGTCAGTATATTCATGTGATTTAAAATTCAAAACGGACTATAAGGAA